TAACGGAATAAAATTAAGTTTGATAACTCAACAAGTGTTTAAAATTCTTATTATTGGATAAGTTACGGGTAGGTATCAATAAATTACATCAAATATGTGCAGATATCCGAGATTTTAGGGTCTAAATCAAAATGTAGTCCGAACTAGATTTCGTAAAAAAAATAATCGAGAGCTTGTCTTCCTCCAAGACAATGTCATTTGGTAGGTTCTTGCTTCTTGGTAACATTTGTAATAATTTTACGTCTACGATTCCATAACAAAAAATTCGAACTTTAATAATCCTTTATGCAAAAATCGACTATGGAATGAATTAGGTGGTCGGAATAAGGTCGTATGTGGGCACAATTACATAATACACTTTAAACAATGAAATTAGTTTACGATCTCCAAATTGGTAAACATTCTTTTTTGACCAAATGGTTGGCACAAACGAGAATGCTTCCGGATCCGAGTAGATCGGAGGTCGGAGTGCCCATTTTTCATAAACAACAATCGACCACGCGGGTAATTTCTCATGGAGTCGGACCGTTTTATGTGTACCATGTGGGTGTGTAAATCTAATACGGTTTTCTCCATTCTTGTCGACAGCGAATTAATTGTCAACCGCAAACGGTCTTCGGGCACGAAAAAGAAATTCTCTCACGTATTGCTCTAATTAGACGAACAAACACGTATTAGCCGTTCTTATTGTGATATTTAAGCACGAGATGCGACCTTTATGAAGGTAATAACCGGAAATATAAACGCTGGCCTGAGAAAATGGCGCCGGTACAATGGGCAATTAGTCAGGTCTTCCAAGGAATCCTAATTGCTATTTCTTTAGCAAAAATTTTGCGTTAATCATCTTGTAGAATATGTTAGTGTTTTACTAAATGCTGCTACTGTAAATTCATCTTTTGTTTAAAAAATCGTAATCTACGCCCTACGGGAACGGTCATGGCATATGTCAACATTCAACCTGACTGGTGAGGTATACAAAAATCCCACTGCTTGTCCGCGATCATCCCCAATTAATTGGTAACTCATCGGAGAGTTTCACGCCCTTAGCTAGTACTAAACACTTGTGGATTTCCGAAATCTCCGCTTGGGCTAGAAAGAATCGTTGGAGATGATATTCTGATGGTTTAAAATGAACTCGGCCATTAGATGAATCTTCAGGTCTATGTGGCCCATTTTCAGTGAAAAACATTTTTTCTTGTTCCGCAACGACTTTGAATAGTAATAGAAATCTTTGGAACATCTTTTAAATGCTCTCCAGCGCAACTTAAGGTTTTGAATTACCTCTTAAGTGTCATCGAATTCTGTAGAATGCTTGAGTTTAGAATGCTCTCGAATGCTCTATAAAAGGGACTAATATTTGCCATGCCTTATAATGCATTGGGACGCTTTTCGGAGTCGCGCATTGAAAGGGTTCTAGATTCTAAACCGAAGAGTTTTTATTAGCAGAATCTTGCCCCGAAATACGTAACTCGCCCCTCGTCCGGGTTTCCGAGCCTACAGGTGAGGGTCGAGGTCAATCACAGCATTAGGTGTCGTAACTCATTTGGTTACAGTTTTTGCCACCGCCACGACCGTCCCATTCCCGACAAATTGTTTACAAACAAGTCTGTACACATTATTAAAAAAATGATGATGAAAATTTCAAAAACAAAGGTGAAAGATAAAAAAATATAAATTTCGCATACAAAACACAAATTAGTTATAAAGAAATGTAAAGATTACTATCTGCATTTAATAACTCAAAATAACAGCATTTCCGAAGCGATGCTTTCGTGACCGCCATTAAAAGATGCCAAATGTAACAAGCGTTGGTGCTCTCCAGATGGATAGAAGGGTAAAGAAAAGTCGAGAGAAAAGTGGAGGAAAAAAATTCAGAACGAAAGTGTAAAGAACGAAGGGAGGGAGTTGCAAAAGATGCCTGAAGAAATTGTAGGAGCCTCGAAGGAGTAACGAGGAAGGAGCAACAAGGAGCGAAAGGTAGGTAGTACAAGGAAGCGATAAAAATCGAAAAGATTGTAGTAGGCGCGAAGAAAGAAGCTCTGAATAAGATCGTATTAGACGAGTAAAGAAGAGATGTAAAAGAAGAAAGTGGCAGTGGTGGAAACCAAAAAGCAATCAGGAGCGAAGGAATCGTCCGTATCAGGTCCTGCGTGAGGAATGCTGGACGTAACTAAAAAAGCACGATAAAGGAAGAAAGATGGAAGCATCTGATATCTGAAGAACTGCAAGGGAAAAATCGCTTAGGACGCAGAGGTGTAGGAACCCTGAAAGAAGTGCGAAGAAGGCAGACTATGAGATTCTTTGATTCTTGAAATAAAATATTTGACAGGGATAGAACATAAACAATAATTTACGTCACAATCGAGGGTGGTTTAATGAATGATCTCAAAAATATTACAAATAGGACACTGTAATATAATATGTATATAGATCTGCACTGTCAATACTTAAATTTAAATTAATTTTTAGTAAAAAGTAAGTATTAATATCAAAGCTGGATTCTCTCAGAAAACAACGGAGCTATAATCGTTAAATGAATATCAAACACAACACATGTAATAGTTTCAATTCGATTGTATCGAAAACCAGTATGTAATTAAACGTTATATCAAGGAGTCGACGAAAATAAACCTTTGAACTAGTGAGCTCAAAATGGTGCGTTCAGCTTTATCGGTAACAGACCACAACACAACAAACAAAAAAAAAGGAGTAGTGAATAGCGCGGCACAGAAAATATTGCGTAAGCAATTCTAACGTCTGACACGGAGGCAATCGTATACTAAAAACCGTAATTAATATTTAAAAAGCAATTGCACCGTCAAAATTAAGTATCCCTTAAAAGTTAAGCATAACTTAAATCGTTGCCATAGATTCCAAGTTCGACTTAATTTTAAGCAAGGCTTACTTTTGTTGGTGCAACTGGGGTAGTCCCGGTAATTTCAAAAACTAATTTACAAAGCAACGATAGCTAATATCTCAAATAACACAGCTAATCTGAAGGATACAATGCAATCAAACTAACAGAAATGAATTCTCGTAGTAATTAGAAAATAACATGGACAAATTGGGTCTCGATAAGTGTATTCTTCGTAGCGGAACAGGTGGTATAAGTAAAATGAGACATATCGGAACAATTTACAAGATCGTAACACTTCAAGGTTTCTTTATGCTTGCGGTTACAACAGGAATAAATCGGCACATCTCCAAGAACAAACTTCGAGTAGGTCGTAATGTTCTAGAATGAAGTAGATGATATGTAGGTAGAATTTTTTAAGTCGGTAATGTAGAAACCATGGTGTACGTTTGCCAATACCAATTCTAATAAGGTGGCTGATCCAAGTAAATATGCGATGTCGTTCCGTACTGCGTAGGTAGTAAGTAAAATCCAGGCAGGTACAACTTAAAAGATAATCGAAAAGAATGAACGATAAGAACTTAAGAGAAACATATTTCGTATTGTTTATATGCAAATATAGATCCGTACAAACGCTTCAATGGAACACACCCACACACATCTGAAGAAACAGAGAAACCATTACAAAGTTCAGTTTATGAGAAGAATTTCATTTCAATGCTTTTCTAAATAAGAAAGTTGGAACTGCGCATGCGCAAACCTAAATTTTAAAACTAATGTTACATTTTCCTTTGTTCCAAGCGCCTAAGTATCAAATTTCACTTAAATGGTTCCATATATAAAAAAGTTGGCACTGCGCATGCGCAAAATAAAATTTCGAAATTGGCGCTGGATTTTCCTTTATTCCAAATGCCTATGTATCACATTTCATTTAAATTCTTCCATAAATAACAAAGTTGGCACTGCGCATGCGCAAAACCAAATTTTGAAACTGGCGTTTGATTTTCCTTTATTCCAAGTGCCTATGTATCAAATTTCATTCAATTACTTTTATAAGTAAAAAAGTTTGCAATTCGGTTTATAAATGGTCGAGATGCGAAAAGGGCACTGTGGATTTTGAATCGATTCGATTCAACTTTTGGCATTGCGTATTATATGGTTAAAGCTATGCCCATATTGAATTTCATGCAATTCAGTTCATAACTAACGGAGATGTAAAAGCGATCGAACATTTCTAAACAAAGTTATCGTTCACACGGACAGATAGATGGACAGACAGACAAAGGAACAGACGGACAGACCAACCGGCAGGCGACAGATAGCAATGCAAAATTATAAACGATCTCTAGGATCGTTAATAAACGGCAAAAGTGTAAAAGTTCCATAAGTTAAAAACTCTGCCGAATTGTTGTTTTATAATTTTCTTTGATAAGTTTATAGTTATGCCCTCTCAACCTCTGGTTATCAGTAATTTTAATAAAGTTTTTGCAAATTTTCAGGGAATTGATCGTGCCTAATTCTAAAAATTTGGATGAGGTCTGCCCTGTTGAGTCTATCGGTCAGTAGGCAAGTCTTTCTTTGAAATTTTAACCATACATGCTTCTATAATAGTAAAGAAAAACATAGTTATGGCCTTTTGGGACATACTGATCAATGCATGGAAAATGCGCCGTATGAACTACTTAACGACAAACAGTGCGATAAGACAGCCGGTACATCATCTTATGGAGTTCTTGCGCTACAGTTTAACTCAAAATGTCACACATTTAAATCGTAAATACGTCGTCGGGCATTGCATTAATATAGAAAACTGTTTTTATTAATTTGTTTCGTCCTTAATTAATTCCAAAACAAACACCGCTACCCGAAGCAATAACAATAATTTTTCCACTGTATCCACGGGGTAATCCCGGTTTGAAATTAGCCGCAATTAAAACATCGTTCTCCTAAGCTACACGGATATGAGCCTACTTTATAATTAAAATTCTTCTATTGCCTTTGTGCGTTTAATAATAACGTTCAACTCCCCAATTATGGACGGTAATTGTTATATCAAAGGTTTGATGTCTTAACTCTGCCATATTTTTGGGACTTTTTTTGGCCCCTCTCGTTTTCGTTTGCTAATCTGTTGTCTCTTTCATTGCAGCTGGACGATGCCTCCTTACAACTGTACAAAGATGGAGATTACGGTTCCTATTTAGACCTGGACGCCTCGATTAGCGAACAACAGGAGGAATTCGAAGGATTTCAATTAAAGTAAGTCTTTTTATCGCGAGTCCATAAATCTTGCTCGAAGTCTCCGGTTAATTTAATCAGTTGAATCACCGAAAGTTCAATTCGAAATGAATTATGGCTTAATGAGGTGATACATTTGAAAAGCGTATAAATGGTACTTTCGAGTAAATGATAAATAGCCGTCGGATGCGTAGAAATATAACGAAGGTCCCGAGGGTATTTGAAAATGTTATTAACGATCTAGTGTAGTTGGAAAAATTTAATTGCAGTATTTATGACCGTACGTAACGGTTGTAACCTGCTGATTTCTTAATTGAAAGTACGTTATAACATTTAAGGGCGCTCAGAAGCTTAATGGAATTAAGTTAAGTGAAACATCATAATTAGTTCGACATTCCCACATCGAAGGGTAGTTTCTGAAGTAATCGATATCAAATTTCCAATTAACGATTTATTTTCAGCATTCCACGTTAGACATTTTAATGGGCGTTCCGTGGTCTCAAAAAAGAATGAGGAACAAGTATGTCACGCGTAGCGTGCTGAAGGAAGAGTTAAAAATCATTCAACATTAATATGATAGTTAATCTCGTGTGGCGATTGTAATTCATTCGTGTGCCAAGTTTCAATTTTTTAATTACCAGAGGGCAATAAATTACCTTTCGAAATCGGAAACTTTAAATTGCAATAGTTTAGACTTTACCTTGCCTTATGATATAGCTTGTTACAATTGCAATAAAGTCAACGAGTCTAATGATTAGTGATAGGGAAACTTGAAGGTCCGCTCGTGGAGGCGAAACTTCTAATGCGAATATCTCAAGAAATATGTCGAAAGAGGGTGCTCTCACAGGAAAACTTGACGGTAGGGACGCATTGTATCCGGCGATGGGGTCAAAACTTTAAATGCGAATATCTCGACAACGGGGTGTCGGGAGAGGTACTCACAAAGGGATAGAACGTATGACCTAGACGCAAAACTTAATTCTAGGACCTTTCACAAGCACACATGGATTTTTTCTATACGTTGACCATGACCATAAATAATGATACCCCTATATCGTGGCCACGTTTCTTAACTAACTTACCCCTATTTAACTCTCAATAACAATAATAATATGGTACTTTTATATTTAAAAAAACATAACTTTATGTGTAGCAAAAATGGACTCATTTGTTTTATACGAAATATTGAAAATACAACTTCAAAAGAAAAATTTAAACAAAACTATTTTATATGATATCTGTTCTAATTAGCCAATTTATTCAATAAAATGTAATGCAATTTCTTGTGAGAATGAGATAGAGGACAACAAGAAAAATAATGACGTGTCACGTCGTATTTTTATACAAATTTACAAGAAAAATATCAAAATCAAATTTTCATGCATTGCTCAACAAGACATCCACGGGTAACTAGATCTTGCTGAATCAACATGGCTATGATGGCGACGCATTCAAATGAATTTCTTTTTTGTCCTCTATCTCATTCCGTAAATATCCAATATGGCGTCCATAAGAAATAAGAAAGTAGTGGCCTGTAGCTTCTACTTCTAGTGAAATTCTAATAACAGATTCAGATTCTCCGAAAAGAGTGCCCATGGAAGGTACCAACGGGAACTGTCCATTTCCGACCGTCTACAGAAAATAAAAACGAAATTTGGCATTTTCAGTGTTTTGGTAATATCTCGGTTATTTTCAAAGACTTTCCAAAAATTTCAAATGCATTTTGTTAGTCACAAAAAGGGGTAACTTTGTGCCCATTTAACCTACATTGTATCTCTTACCGTTACGGAGATCCCAGTGGTAAACCACGAATTTGAACCACCGTGCACATATCCATAGTACAACCTCGTTAATCCGAATAGATTCGGACCACTGACCTTTTGGATTATCACATTTTCGGATTATCGTGAAACTAGTGAAAATAATAAATTTGGACACAAGCATTAAGAAATAAACTTTATTCTTTTCAACGTCTTCAGGGCATCGTTGTTACGAGGAACAAAATTATTTCGGACTATCGCGATTTCGGACTAGCGTGTATTCGGATTATAGAGGTTGTACTGTATAGTTTATTTTTAAACGAAATGTTACACATTTTGGGTATTGGGTAGCACAATTCCTGATATTATAGAAAAAAAAAAGGAAATATCTTGTTCCATTTTGGCGTAAATAGCAGAAAAGTTCTCTAAAACAGAACAAGCTCTCGATTATTAAGGTGCCACACCAATCATAAAACCACCCTAATAGGCAGTTAACCGCATTTGCAGCTGAACGCGAAGTATGACACAAATTAAAATCCACCCTACGGTAATTTACAGGTGGGTAACATAACGTTGCAAACGCAAACCGTTTCCATTAATAAAGCAAATTTACACAACCAATCAGCCATAAATCAACTCAATTTCCACACAAGCTCAGATAATGATGACTGCAAAATAAACAAAATCTTTCCTGTAATCTGAATAATGCAACAGTCCACAACTGACCGGCGTCTTAAGTTTTCAAATGCATTTACTAAGTGAGGACAGTATTTCAGGACCACTTATCCACGCACCACAACCAAAAAATTTAAGAATTTCTGCTAAATGATGAAATCGCCACAATCGAGAAGTAAATCATAATCCTTAAAAATCAAAATCCAACACCCTCGCCGTTAACTTCCTGTTGTTTAGTCGCCTCCTACGACATGTAGTGTTCTCTGACAAAAAACGTAGGACCGTACTGGAAAGTACCGTTACAGTTCCCCCCTCGTTCATATTATTGAAATTCTTCGGATTCATCTCATTTTTCAGATCTATGGACTAATTGAATTATTAATTTTTTTTTAATATTTCCATTTCTTTAGATGCTTTTGTTTCCTGGAGTTTTCTGAATTATGCTGTTTGAATTCTTAAGATTCATCGGCACCTTCAGATCCTTACGTTTCTTCAGATACTTCGTTTACTTCGAATTATTTCTATTTTGAAATTCACCCAATGTTTCGATTACATCACATTTTTAGCGCATTTTTTAAGAATTAAAAAAATGTGGTATTGCTTGCGTCCGTCCGTCCGTCCGGATCCACTTCTGCTGTTTCGAACTACTAGGGGAATGGTCCTAGAGTCCTGGAATTTTTTGCAGTAGGTAGCCTATACCTTGAAGGTTTCGCTATCTAAAAGCCCCCCTCACGAATTATAGCCTGAGATGCTGTTTTTGACAGTAAAACGTGCATAACTTTTACATACGACAACCAATTGGTCTCAGATTTTGCATACGTATGCCTTTAGTGGTACCAAGTTAAACTTTAGAAGGGGGGGGGGGGGTAACACATGTTCTATCCTTCATGGTCTCATCGAAATAAATTGGTTTGTACCAACTATAACTTTCCCGTGCGACTCTTCTTCGAGATCAGTGAGCGACGGGGCCTGAGGGTGGGGGGGGGGGGGGTTAAAATGTCTAATTAAGTTTCTATTATTTATTTAATATTCTAATTAAAGTCTCAACGAAAGGAACCGTTTGCTACCAACTATTACCCTTCTTTATGTCCTCTTATCAATGTACGGGATGGAGGGAAGGGGGGGGGGTGAATTAGTTTTATCCTTCATGGTACTCTAATGAAAGGTCTCAATACGAAAGGAACTAATTTCTACCAACCATAGCCCTCCTCCTCGACCTCTTATCGTGATCGGCTGAAAAGTAATTTAAACTTAAATATTGGCATTTCAGATCTAGATATTACAGTGTCCTATTTGAAATATTTTGAGATTATTTATTAAATAACTCTTGATTGTGACAACAATTATTGTTGTCCTCCCCGACCTCGTATCGTGATCGGGTATATTCCCTTATACCTCAAGAACGGATTGTCGGAAAAGGGTACTCGCAAAGGGCGATTGAGACGTCTGCAAGAAATATATCCATTGGTGATGTCAAATTTCGGTTAAAAAAAATGCGCTTTATCTGCACAAGAGTTGTGCACAATTTATACTTGTTTTGATTGCTTCCGTTTTTTTTCGATTTATTCCGATTCTTCTCTTTCAATTCGTCACATGCTTCAGACCCTTCGAATACTTCAGACCCTTCGAATACTTCAGACATTTCGGATTGCACACCTTCAGAGGAAAATGTAAGTGTTGTGTGACTTATGTTTTGTGTGCCTACTTCACGCATAACAGATTATGATCACTGGTCAAAAGATAGTGGTCACCACCAAATACAGAGCTTTTGCTAATGTTATTAGTTAGGAGTGCCTAGCAATAACAATAATTGTTGATACTGCTGAGAAATTTCCAGCTCGTAATTACTGAACAATGATGCAGAATTGTACTGAAAAACAAGTAAATACAAACTACCAACTTAATTACAAGTTGCCAGGCCGATTATCCATTGCGAAAAAAATTAATAATCTCGCAGAAGTCGATAATAACCCATCTAATTAATTGCACTATTAATTATAGTGGAATGTACTTTTACTTTGCAATTTAAATGGATGATTGCAGGAACGTTCTGAATGCAATAAATGCATTCACTTTCCTTGCAGCTGTGTAATTGTTTTTTTGAGCTAGTTTAGCACGCTTTTCGACGTGCGTTTTTTCGCAACATCGCTCTCGTGAGAAATCAATTGTTCATATCTCCCCAAGACGAAGTCATCATAGCCGATCGAATAGCGTAAGATTTCATTTTCGATTTCTATTATCTGCATTGTGCGTCTTGAAGTGCGCTAACAATGATCTTGAAGGGATTACAATTTTGTTCCGAGTGTTCTCAATTAAGTACCTACGTTTAGGTTGAGAGCGAACTTATAAATTGAATCTCACTTTCTCTAATCTCTCGAGAAGCGGGGAAACTGCTTACATGTTATGTTATTGAAATATTGGTAACCTAATTTCTTGTTACACTACATTTTTATAATCTCATTTTTGTGTTTAATCTTCAGTACTTCACCTAATCAACTTTCACTTTATGTTTCACATGCGATGCTTATAGAGGGCAATATCTTCCTTAAATCTCTAACAGAGAACAGTATCTGTAAATTGGTGTTTCGAACCACATAAAATTTTGTGTTTCGACCTTCCCTTTAGATATGATTATTGCATCTGATACGACTAAATGTGGGAAAATTAGGTAAAAAAATTGCTTTTTTGTTTTAAAATAATTACGTTTTTAGGGGAATTTTTTGAAGAGTTACGGACAACTGTTCCCCTGAGAATTCCTATCGGCCACATTCCGAACCCGGATCATTCGTCTTTGTTTTTC